CTTTGATTCTCAACGATATCCCCTCTAAAATCCTAAAAAACCCCCCAAAAACGAAACGTCGACTGAAGAAAAAGGTCGCCGTCGCCGTTGCTCTAAAAACGATATCCAGCTTGCCCCGTGCCAGCTGGTGCCAGGCCCTGATAAGGCGGTCCGCATCGAAAGATGACACAATAGAAACTGTGCTGAGACGCCCTATTTGATCTAAGTCCGCCTCGGTGTTGCAATGACAGGAGGTTTACGAAGTCCTATTCGTTGCACTGCGCTCTCGAAACATAATTTCTCTCTGCTTTATGAATCAGCGTTCATAGTTTGCAATTTGAGCCAAAAAAAACGCTTGGCATCTCAAAAGTCTATTTAGAGCCGATTTTCTCGTAGAGGAAATACTGAAGTGGAACTGACAAGCTGGAAAGAAATGCATATTACCGTAAGCGCCTTCAAACGCTGATTTCAAGTCTGATCTATATTTTGCGTACCAAATTTCTAATATAAGTTAAGCGCCTGAAAAATCAAGTTTGTAAACTTCGAATCAGCGAAACTGTACGAAAATACAGGTTTTGATAGATACGTCCTTTCCTTGCAGTATACTCAAAACATCGACAACATCGAAACATCAAACTTTCAATGGTGTTTTCAGGTGTTTTCGTGCAGCTTTCTGCATCAGTGCCACTTGTATCCTCCCCCTGTCAGTCTAAAGACATGTGAATCCTTATGACATGCGAATTTTGCACGCATTAGACCCACTCGTCTCTGTGCATGCTGAACCGACATGCTGGTCGCGCATGTATGCAAAATTCTCTAAAAGCTGGCTGTAATCTGCTCAATTCTCGTGCAGAAACAATTTCACAAGGCACTCAGACGCGCAAGGAAGAAGGTTCTACCGTCTTGGTTTAGTAGGACGAGCAATTACTCATTTCAGAAGTTGTAAAACCTCATCCGGAAAGAGATTTCTATCAGAAGATTATTTGTAAAGTTACTGTATCGAGAATGGCTTTGTGCGTTCCAAATAAATGTGCTTCTACATAAACTACAGTTTATGTACCCTTTGCTTCAACCAAACCGGCTGCTGGAAGGCGGGGCCCCACGACCTAGGCAATTGCTCGCTCCGCGACGCAGTCTGGGCCTCCCTCGCGAATATGCTCTCTGATTTCTAGCCTTAATTAGGTCACGGAGCCCCGCCCTCCAGCCGCCGATCTGGTTGAAGCAAAGGATACGTTAAACCCAAGAAGAAATTACCAAACTTGTAGTAAAAGCTTAAGCTGAAATTTTTTTGGCGCCTTTTTCCCTTAGAATTATGCTTCTCAATAATTATGTCGTTGATTAAATGCGCACCCAAAATTTGCAAATATGTAGGCTATAATGTAAGTCACTGGTGCAGCTACTGCTCTGTAGTTCTGCCAAATTCTGAAGTCAGGGTAATGGTTACGGTAGGTATCGGTAGGTGACAGGAAAATGTTACTTCATCACAGTGTGGAGATGAAACTTGGTCTAGGGGTTATCCAATGATCACGAAAACGTTACTGACTTTACGTCGTTGGCCCTTTTTGTGAGATTATTACGACGAATTTACGAAACTAGAATAATTGCGATATTCGTGTTCGACAAATGGAACACAAATAATCCCACTATGCAAACTCTCGGCCAGATCTGAGGTGAAGTTTCGAACTCTTGTCCCCCAGCAACCTTGCGTACAGCCGCTTTCAACTTCGTGAGAGCGCTAATCGACTCATCATCAAATTCCAATTCGTATATAATTTCGGATTGTTGTGCGTGTTCTAGGTCGCGAATCGCTTCATTGTTGCTCACAGTTCAATGAATCCTCGAGCCTCATTAGTTTTCGAAAAATGCTTGCAATCGTTCTGCTTTGTTATCAAGCAGCGGTTTGTGCCAGTTGGTAGCTCATACCAAATCCACATGATATGAAAAAAAAATACGGGATCGATTGGTCTTAGTTAACAACCTAATACTTCATTTTATCGTCATGGCTTGTGCATTTTTCGAGTTCAGATGCTTAATTTAAATAAAATTTCAAACCCACGTTTGTGGGCTAGAAGAAAGCGGTGTTAGTTAACGTGTAATTTCTTCACTGTCAGATCTCTCTAAATCTCCTTCTCCAAACCTCCAGAAAATTATCAACCCCGTCTCGTCAGCTGCTGATATAGGTGTGTTAATGAATGGCGAATTCGACGATGACTCGTTCAAAGCATTAGGTGGAAAAGGAAAGATTAAGGTACGAATAAGGAAAGTCGACTAAGAATGAGTGGTGGTCAAGGACATCTTCAAATCTTTGGCCGGTGACAAACTCCATCATTGTCTTAAGGCGCACTCAAGTAAATCTCACGGCGCGCGCAACATTAACCGAGTTACTGTAAAGGATGGACGTCTTTGACATTCGTGTGTTTGTCAAATGGATGAAGAAATGCTATTTGACCAGCAGGGATATAGTTCAAGACCGGCTATGCTATTCTTTTACTGTCACCTTTCAATTATTGATATCAACCACTAAATCGATGATGTTGCCATCAAAAGTTTGGCCCCTAACAAAAGAAGAGGTAGAACGAGGGCGCGATAATTCAAATTGATTTCCATTAAAAAATACGATTCTTGAAATTAAACAAATTTCTCTCGAACAACTTTCTAAGAAATATAGATTTTTTGAATAGGAAATTCCTCTGCATCAAAAACAATAACCTTGATTCTCATACTTGCTGCAATCAGCTGTTCGTTGATACTCTCTTGTCCCACACCCCGCAAAATAACCATTTTTGCGCTGATTGTGTATTGTGTATGTCACTTCACCTCCCGTAAGTTACTCATAAGTGACTTGCGGGATTTTTCCTTGGGTACATACATACCCGCGAGACCATCTCGAAACGGACGCTGCTCTTACAGAAGTCAGGTGAGAGCACAGCACCTGCCGCGATGCTCATTGACAAGTCACGAAGCATTCTCATAACGCGAGGGATTGCTCGCTACAAGCCTCAAAATATTCGCAAAGATCCTCACTTCAGATCATCTGAACTGGGCGAGCGTTACTGCGGGCCTTTGCAAAACTCTTTTTCTTTCACTATATAGGATGGGGCTCCAGCTCAGTCTAGCACGTTTTTCTGTCCAGTCTTTCTTTCGCCTAAATCGAGGACGTAGTATTGATGTGCTCTACAGAGCTGAAGAGAAGTGGCCGATTTCTGTGAAATTCGTATTGCTCGTAAGTGCAAAGAATGAGAACAGCATTCATGGCGAGTTGTTTCCGATGTATCTACCGTTATAATCGTCGCCGAGGGCAACAGAGAATTGCTAAGATTATGAAAATAGCCAGAAACCAAGCACCTGACTTTATTTGATCTTAGCTAGGCCTACGCCGAGATTGGAGGCCGCTCACTTATTCGTTTGGGAGGCCCTTCAAGTAAACATTCCCTCGTTCGTAGTTCGGCGCTTACTGTCATCTCCAAAATCATGTAAAAACGGGAAACCCATTTATTGTAAAGGCTGAGTTTGAGTTTTTACCAATAAATAAGTCTGTTTAGTTTCGAAATAGTGGTTCAATAGAAGGGATCTGTAAAATTGTAAGACTGAGCTTGGATTTGGGGTTTTTCAATTTCAGTTCCAAGAAAAAGTAAGGTTTTCTATGCATTGAGATGTTTATCCGACTTCTTGAGTAAATGTATGGTCTATAGCTGCTTAAAAAGTGTAGAATACTTCTTGACAACGCGTGCTGCCACATATTTTATGCATGAAACATTCAAGCAAATAATCATGGGAGGTCAGGAGACATTGCATGAAATTTTGAAAAAAAGAACGTTTGCAGAATAAACAATCATCAAAAGAGAAAAATTTGGAAAATCATATGAAACATTTTGAAGACAAAGTAACCATGAGCACTGTCTCCATGTGTATCGTATTGCCCTTTACTTCTTGGGGCAGCCCGGCTTTCCGATTCCGAAGGGCCATAAAGAAGGGATTATCGTCTTCCCTCTGCTGTCTTTTACATTCTTCCAGCATTCAACACATTCAGTGTCACATTTGCAAAGAGCCGCTGCGCAACCGGTGTTTGTACCTAAAAAAAATACCAGACACCATGCTAGATTATATCAACTGATACAACAAAAGTGTAAATGCAGATTTATGTTGTGGAGATTGTGCTGAACGGGATCACCCCACTTATCTCATTTTTGTTCTTATCATCTCGTTCTGAATTAGTTACTTCCGCGAAACAAAATTCTTCAGCGCTCGGTGACGGGAATTGAGAGCACTTGTTGCTGCATCAAATGACAAATCAGTCTAGGATCGAGGTGAAGAAGGAATGCAACCGAATATTGTTCTAACTCTTAGAGTCATTTTAGTTTTTCACGTCACCTCACCTAATACTTCTAACATTTGATGAGCTAACTCTTGACAAGCAAAACACTCAATCCGCTTTGTGCGACCGGTTCAACATTTTTGAAAGCACAAAGAGCTATGAGCTTATGATATCTTCCAGCTTCTATTTCCTATTCCTCCTTGTCACGCCTTGGGTAACTTATAGGCAGCGGCTCGGCAGAATGACAACTTTGGAATATTTATTGTTTTCGGCTCCCCTGGATGAACTAAGTCCAAGACTGTGCTTTGCAGCTTCAAATTATAGCAATAACCCTATTTTCCAGACGTGAAAAGTGCTATATTGGCGGACGGCGTATGCCTGCCCTCTAGACCGCTATTGGCTCATGAGTGGAGGTACTGTGCCCATCCTGGCGGCAATTGGATTGTTGGCTGCAGCAGCCACTTTCGCGACCCGCCCGAACAGCACTTTTCACGTCTGGAAAAGCGGGCTATTGGTATCTTTTGGCTACAGAGCATAGTCTTGGACCTAGCTCATTCAGGGGAACCGAAAACGATGAATATCCGAAAGTTGCCATTCTACCGAGATGCTGCCTTCGAGTGGGAGAAGTGCTATAATCAGAGCAGGGCGGCGTATTTCCCGAAAAGAAAAATCTGAGAATGCGTGCAGTTAGCTCGATATCACTCACCTCTACATACGGCTCTGTTCCCGTTTGGCGTCTTGACACAATCCCATTTGTACAACGCGAAGTACTGCCTGATGTCGCCGCATACCTTGCTTGCCACAGCCCTATCGTAACATTTGTCATGATGCATGCAGCACCTAGAAGTGATCTTTCATGAATATGACTGCGAATTTGGGACTGGTAGTTTTACTTACCTGTCAATGGCATCGATTGGTGTACCCGAACCACCTTTGCCGCACCAGCATCCGTAGTGGTTGTATCTCTGAAAAGCATGAAATTTTCGAGCAGAATATCGTCAAAATGGTGAAACTTACCGTGCCCCAACCCCCTATTACGCAATCGGTCACGAAATTGAAATTAATCAGCGCTTGATGCGAAGGAGTATGATATTGTGGCACGACTGCGTAGACCAACGAGAGCAGAACTAGAACGATGTACATGTTCTATGACAATAAAGTGAAGAGCAAAGTGATACACTCCTTATATATTGAGCGATGAGAACAAGTTACTTGACGTCCCATTAGTCATCCTTTATGATAAGCGGATTTGAAGGGATTTCGCGGTTGTCGCAGAAGAAATCGTCTTATATGTTGCGCACTGAAGTCAGACCATCTGTACTGCTGCCTCCGATAATCTTTTGTGCCGAGGAAGAATCATGTTTTAGAAGTGACTGCACGAGTGAGTGGGGCCCATGTCTTCCAACCCTCCATGCAAGCTTAGGTCTCGGGCAGAGTTCAATCGATTTTATCGCCTCGCGATTCTCTAAGCAAGACAACAGTTACGAGTCCATTGCATGTCGATCATTTTACATTTCGGTTGTGATAGTTATTCATGATTAACGTGTGGAAAAACTATCACAACCGATATGCAAGATGGTCGGCATGTAATGGACTCGTAATTGTTGCCCTGTTGGAGAATCGCGAAGCGATGAAACCCCTAAACTCCGCTCGAGGCCTCACACAATTTACTCTTTTTTCTTTCATGGAGAAACAGTTAATGAACCTCACTTTCTTTCATCAGTAAGTCTTTAGATTTTCTTCTCTGCAAGGACCTGCATTGACAATGGGGCATATAGATAGAAGACCACCGTGTTCTCGCAAACCTTCGATGCTATTATGATTGGTGCAGCAATGATTTTTTTGTGATTTTTATGCCCTTGCTCTGGAAATTCAAAAAGCGGTGAGATTCTTCAATAATCTTCGAATTAATGGGAGTAACTGTCACAGAAGGGTACAAAGCACATTAGGTTAATCCTGTGGCAACGTCGCAAGAAATCACATGGAAGTATTAAGTAGCGTTAATGAGATTGTTGGCAATGACGAAAACACCAAAATCTGATTTGGAAGACAATTTGCTTACAAAAAATAAGCATCTTTTTGAGTCAGAAGACTGTATTAATTTTTAGGCCAAGAGAAGATGAAATAAGCATATTTGCAAATGAAATAAAAGTGGGGCACGCCTTTAATGCGCCTTGGAATGCTGATTCCTTATCTGTCTTCAGTCTGAGCGGTTCTCCAATGAAACGTTGTGACGCTTCTAACATTAAAATATGCACTCAACTTTCCAATTTGATAAAAACAGCATCACAAGCAAAAAATATTATGGTAGGCAAGATTAACCTGGATTCAATTGAGTCTGTTTCAAAATTCCACTTTCAACTATTTTGATGCGCCCACCTTGCAAAACCGACGCGAAAAAAAGCTCATAGCCTAGTCCTGAGAGTGTGTCAGCAGACAGCGAAAGCAGATTTGAGCCTAGCTCTTTGAGGAGCATTCTACTATATTCTGTTTCATTAAGAATGCACGTTACACAGTTAATTTTTTCCTTCCAAGAAAGTACTGAAGATTTTCGTCTGCAGCATAAGTTAACTTAGCATGTAATTAAATCTGAAAACCCTGCCAAAATTCCCATTATTATGTTATTTATTTCATAGAAAAAAATTAGTAGTCGCCAACTGCCTTAACTTATCATTGAAGCTACAGAGCTTATACTGTTAAATTGCGATCTCACCAAGCTTTCTCAAGAGTTGACTTGAACATCAGAAAGTTCAAACTTTTGAGTTTCTTTTTTTTTCTTTTACTTTTCTTTACTTTTAAGTTTACTTTTCTTAAGCGGACATGAAATCGTATATCCATCCGCTCCTCTCCCTTAAAAGGCCGACCTAACAAGAGAATGGTCCAAAGTCGTTTTGCCAAACCCCAAAACAGCCGCGTAATATTTGGTGCAGCGTAAAACGCTTCATTGAATTTTCCTTACTTGCTGAATCCCTCTCAAGCAAAACCAATTCTTCTACGAGAAGATTACTCATACTAAGTGCAAACTTGGGCTGTAAACGCAGAGTATTAGGCGTACACTCGCTGGCCCATGATCCCCTAATGACCCCCGGCAGCCAAACGTAGATTTTTCAGCAATTTCTCTTTCTTTGGGGTTAATGGAAACATTCCAAAGTTGTACTGATTCTCTAACCCAAGAGTGCTAAGCATGTTGCTGATGAGAGCAAATGCTGTGCTGGAGTCATGTAAATTGCGATGAACCACACGTTGAAAGTTGGAGTTATCAAAAAATTCGATATTTCAATAACTTAATAATTCTTATCAGCAACATGCTTAGCACTGTTAGGTTAGGTGAGCTGTGCAACTTTGGCAGGTTTTCGTAGACTTCAAAGAAGGAAAACGACTTTGAAGAAAAGACGTCGGCCGCTAAGGATCACCAGGGTGTTATACCAAGCTGAAACGCGGCTTGTACGGCTTCTTGCTTCTGTTTATTATACCTCTAATGAAGGATGATGGAATACTTACGGATAGGTAGACAGCGTGAAATCCATGAATTTGAAGCTTCATAATGAAGCTTTCTTTGAAGCTGCAATCCCTTCCCGGCGGGAATATCAATGCATGCGGCACTTGAACTGCAAAACACCTTCGGTTTGCATCACCGCATCTTGCCAACTTGGATCAAAATGAGTACCGCTTGTCTCATATGACTAGAGGAAAATGCTCGGTCAGGACACTTTAAGCTTTCATTTTCTTAAATTAAGTGAGCAAATCTGTAAATCGATATAAGGACCCGGTTTGCCGCAAAAAAATGGCCTGTGTTTTTCTCTAGCGTCGATAGAATAAGTGTGCACATTTTTAGCTCTATCAGTGCATGGACGGTGCCATCCATACCTTCGATACATAGAGCCATGTACTCTGGTAACCTTCACTTTGAGCGTCATGATAGAACACAACCTTCACTTGGGGAGAAGTACAGAAGTCATCCGGGGCGAAGCCCCGGAAATTATGACATAACTAATGACACAACCGTATAGGGATGAACTTAAATGAGGCAAATATAGCAGTGACATTCAAAAGAAGCTCAAAAAAAAAACCGAAGGATTGCGTTTTTATGGCCTTTTTTGTTGAGAAGAAGGTTTTTATTTAGAAATTTTATCAAAAACTAGGGCAAAATTTCTCAGTTAACCTTTCTCTGAACTGCGGTTGAATGTTGGAAGTTCATTAAAGCCGCTAAAGTTCAATAAAAACGAAAACCTGCGCTCAAATCTTGCGCAAAGAGTCGCCATATGAATGCTGGTCTATCTCGTTATGGAGTGATTTTCAAGACCCGCGACGTTGTCAGTGCTCCTGGCCGTCTCATGAGGATCACAACGATATATAATCTTGCAGGGTTTCGTTGAGACCCTGCGAAGATCCACGACCAGAGCCAAATGCCCCGTCGGCTCTGGTCTGTCTCCGCTGCTCGTCTGCGTCTCCGCGCGCTGCGCGCTACCTCGCTACCTCACATGCGGGGCGCGGGGCATTTGGCTCTGGTACCCTTTTCTTCGTTGTTCGGAGCCCAATTTCGATAATCTATTTATCATATTAAAGCTCTTGATCTCTATTTTCACGCTGACAACGTCGCCGAACTTCTTTTTAGGATTTAAACGAGAAATCCTCGAAAAACGGCGTTTTCGAAAACCTCTTGTTTTTTCTTCAGTTTAACTTTTTTCACTCGGTTTTTTTGTGCATTCAATAGGTCTTGTTTCTATCTATGATGTAGACAACGTCGCCGAGCTTACTTCTTTGCTTATGCCGGTTTTTTTGTGAAAAATACAAAAAAAGTGCGTTTTTCTTTACCTTGTTCTCTTTCTGTGCTTTTGCAGCGAATTTTTTCCTGCTTGACGATACTTGCTCAGAATGATGAGCGGAAGAATCCAGACAACGTCGCAGCGTACGAAACGACTATGCGGGGGTGAAAATTTAAAGGACGCATCAAAAATCAGATTGGCGTCGATGTGCAACACAACTTTACAGATATGTTTAACATGTTCAATTCAGTTGTTGACAAGTTCTTCTTCTTTCGGTCTCCCAACTAACGCCACAGCTAAACAGCGCTTTTTTTGACTGGAAAAGAACTTTGTTGCTGTTGCCACCCAATTTTACCGGCAATCCTGGAGATGAAACTCTGCGTAGGAAACCACCAAGTTAAGGTTTCAGATTTTGTGATGTGCTAACCTCTGCTTTATACGAATCTTCTAAGTTTTCTAATTCAATTTGTATCTCTAAATTTTCGTCTATTTTTCTGAAACAACCTTCACTTTTTATAGGGGGCAAGAACTCAAACAACTATCACTTTCTAGCCCCTGTCTCTTGACTATCGAAGGTATGGTGCCATCTATAGGTTACATACACGTACAATTTTTCTGCTTTATAACCAGGGTAAAGCGGGGAGTGCGGCACTCGACCGTCGGATACGACCCCCCCCCCCTGATTGCTCTCTTAATAAGACCCCCCTCCTAAACTATACACTTAAGATAGTATTACCTGAAGGCTCTGTCGAACATAATGGACAACATATCCATAATTGGCATGTCAAATACCCCCTGTAGACAAAGTGTGAGCGAATTCTGAAGATTCAAGATACTAGGCTACCTAAGTGAAATGGTCAAATTCCAACATGGTTAACTTTGTTTTAAAGGTGAATTAGCTATCCGTTTTTGCACTCAAGACAAAGCACTACTCCTTCTTTGTCCACCTCAGGAATCCCGCTTCAGAAGACCTCCAAACTGTGGAATTAGAAGCCAACCAAAATCTCATTTTTCCCATTTTTCGCTTTTGATGGCTGTGCTTTCACCAAATATTACTCAGAGCTAAGAAGACGAATCAGGCTCAAAACATCCCTATGGGATCTACGAGGTTTAGGCTATCGATTCATATAAATATTGTCCGCTAAAAATGTTTTTTTGATATAGTTAATGGCCTGCGGCACCCCCCCCCCCCTCAAAACCTGCGGCTGCCGCAGGGGTGCCGCAGGCCATTAACTATATCAAAAAAACATTTTTAGCGGACAATATCGATAGCCTAAACCTCGTAGATTCCATAGGGATGTTTTGAGCCTGATTCGTCTTCTTAGCTCTGAGTAATATTTGGTGAAAGCACAGCCATCAAAAGCGAAAAATGGGAAAAATGAGATTTTGGTTGGCTTCTAATTCCACAGTCTGGAGGTCTTCTGAAGCGGGATTCCTGAGGTGGACAAAGAAGGAGTAGTGCTTTGTCTTGAGTGCAAAAACGGATAGCTAATTCACCT